GCGCCGCTTAGCGACGCGAGCGCCCGCGCCCGGGCAAGGCCTTGCCTCGCGATCGCCCGCGCGGTGTCTCAAAGTTAGACCGAATTCCGGAGAATGCCGAGGATTTCCTCGTTTTGCCACGTAACACCCAAACACGGCAGAGCCGGGGTTTTTTCGCAAGAAGATGGCTCGCCGCCGTCGATTCTCGGCTGCCGGGGCGGCAGCCGACAAGCCCACAACTCGTGCGGTCTCCACGTGTGGAAAAATAAAGCCTTGGAGACGTATTCTTGCTATCTTGGCCCTTGTTCCCTATGTTGCATCCGTTTTTTCAGTTTTGCGACTTCGCCCTTGCCCGCCCCCGTTTGCCGAATCTCGACCTGTCTACTTGCGAATGGTCTGGGAAACCAGCAGCAAGCGCATAGACGTGCGTTTGCCGACCATCTGCGAGCTTGCCGCCCATCCTCGCCAATGGCAACTTCGCATGTGGAGGGAGACTCAGAATCTCGCACAGCTGACTCAAGTTTGCAGGGAGTCGACTGCACATGTCTCCCTGACGAACAGTTCGCCGCACTAAGAAGCTCACACTTAGAACCCTAAGGCTCTTGACCCCTCTAATGCAAACCCTCGACCAATTCCTCAGGGGCCATGGAAACAACACCCCAAAGACCATCGAATTGGAGCCTTAGGGAAGAAGCTGACTCTCGACCGGGGCGACGGTTCGGTGACCGCCACGAGTCCGCGAGTCCGAAGATGCTGAGCCAAGCCACTTCTGAAATCCAGTACATATCCGTCTAAATATAGTCCTTCATTCCATAAATCGAGATCCAACAGTGGAAATCAAACAGGAACCGAAGAAGCGCATCCAGACACAATGATGCCACTGCCACGGCAACCATCGCTGCCAACACAAGCCGCCCACCAGCCAAAAGCAAGCAAACACAGGCAGACACAGACAGATAGGCAGATACAGAGAGTGCAAGAGAGAGAGAGAGAGAGTGAGAGTGAGAGAGAGAGAGAGAGAGAGAGAGAGAGAGAGAGAGAGAGAGAGAGAGAGAGAGAGAGAGAGAGGGAGAGAGGGAGAGAGGCAGCGGAGAGAGGGAGAGAGGGAGAGAGGGAGAGATCCGAGGGCGAAAGTACCCTGAGCTCCTGCGGAGCCGGCGCTGCCGCCTACTTGTCCACGCTCTCAAGGTCGGTGGCCGGTGGCTCCCGGAGGGGTTGGCCTTTGTGCGCTTGCTCGCACGCGCCAAGTCGCGCCGTGTTCGATCTGCTGCAAGGAGCCGCTGTGCAGGCGTCAGGCGCATGTGCGGTGGTGAGCGACCTGCTCGCCGTCGCTGTTGACACCACCCTTGTCAGCCCCGTCCGGGCTGACGGCGCTCCGCGGCCGGGGGCTGACCGTGAACCCGGCCTAGCCCTGCGCCAGATCCGACGCCGCAAGCGAAAGGTTAAAGGCGCGTCTCCTTGCGCTCCTTGTTCCCCTCCCTTCAGCCTGCTCGACACGCACCTGGCTTTGGGCATCAGCCCATAGAAGAGCGGACGAACAGGAGGGGGGGGAGCACTGAGCATGGCGTTGTAGCTGACGCAACACAGTCAGGTTTGGATAAGGGCGGGCGAAAAGGCCTCCGGATGGACAAAGCAAACTGGTAGGGCTGGCAGCATCGAACGCCGCGCTGCGAGCAACGAGCCGCCAGGTGAAATCCCAGACGGCAGTGCCTTTGACGCCTCCGTTTAGCTTTTGGAGCGCAAACGAGCCAGCCGAGACAGCATTTACTGCGTCCTCGTCTGGCGCGGGTCGGGTGGGGTGGGGCTGGCTCTCAGCCAGTTTGTTCATCCCAGTTTTCCCACCATCCGAGCACGTCGATACTCCCTTGGGTCCAATCCATAGCATCTGGAAAAGAAGCACCTTGATCAACGAAGAAATCGGAGACGCTCGACTCACTCCTCAAACGCATGCTGCTTACAGAAGTGTCTTTGGTCAGATCTGGCTACAATCGCGATCAATTCTCCAGGTGCATCACCAACCATTGAGGACGTTCGCGCCAGCGGATCTCGGACAAGGCATGGGAAGGCGGGGATTGCTCAGCAAGCCTGGACAGGATGTGTTTTTCTGCCTCGCTGCGCATGGCCCACATAGGTTTGCCCCCGGGCTCCCGCAAAGAACGCAAGCAACTGCGAGGACCAGCGGAGCGGGCACAAAACACGAAAACAAACATCCCCTCTCTTTTTTTTCTCCTTTTTCCGACGGCAGAATCGAGGCAGCTACGACGAGGTGAAACATAACGAACGGGCGCGAACTCAAGCGGGCAGGCGGCTCGGCGCCGGCCCATTCTCCCAACTGGCGTTTTTTTCTCCCCACGCGCCTTTTTCCGCAGCATCACAGCAGCTACGAGGTGAAACCCAACGAGCGGCGGGCGCAAGCTCAACCGGGGCAGGCGGCTCGGCGCAGGCCCATTCTCCCACCTGGCGTCGGCGAGCAGGTCGCTCACCGGCGGCTCGGCGCCATCAACGCACGTCTCCCCGAACAGCGGGAGCTGCAGCAGGCTGGCGGCGAGCGCGCGCTGCGCGGCGACTGCGAGGAGGGCAGTCCACCGCCGCACGTACGCCTGCACAGCAGCTCCGCGCAGCAGTTCGGGGACACGGCGCGACTTGGCGCGCGCGAGCAGGCGCGCGAAGGCAACCCCGTCCGGGAGCCACCGGCCACCGACCTCGAGGCCGAGGCAAGCAGGCGGCAGCGCCGGCTCCGGAGGAGCTCAGGGTAAGTGCCCCCAACCAGTGTGGAGGCGAGATCATGCCCTTGCTTGCACGCGGATTGGTTTTTCTCGCTCGGCGCGCGAAGTTTTTGTTTTTTTCCCTCCGGCCTGCTCAAGTCAGTCGAATCCCACAAAATCCGACAGCGGTGAGACCGGGGGAGAACTACGCGCCCGGCGCCCTGCGGGCGTCGGACAGCACGTCGGCGCGCTGGCATACACGGCCAGCGCGCTGTCGATGGGCAGCTCGCAGAGGCTGCTCGCGAACGCGGTTTGGGCCGCAATCGCGAGCATCTGCCCCCACCGGCGCGCGCACGCGGCCGCGACCGCGCCGCGCTGCGCCGCGGGGCTGGCGAGAGCCTGGCCACAGGCGAGCTTCTGCAGGAAAGCCTCCGCCTCCTCTTCCCAGCGGCCGCCAACTTCTGCAGCGAAAGCGATGAGGCGGCAACGCCGCGCCCCCTGAAACTCGGGGTAAGTGGCGCGACGCTTGCGCTCGGTCGCCTCCCGTAAGGCGAGGCCAGGCTCAGAGTCAGCCCGTGGGCGGCTGCTGCCGTCACGCCGGAGGGGGCTCACAAGTGTGACGTCAACTGCGACCTGGATTCCTCCGAAGGCGGGAAGGCCATTCGCGACAACCTCCAGCCGGCGCCCGAGGTTCAAGTCGCGAAAGGCGACGTTGGTCGCAACCCGGGCTCCCGCCTCATAGAAAGCCCGTGCCGCAGCGCGCTCGAACGGGCAAGCGCGCCGGACCAGGACCCCCGCGGTGGCGCAAGCAGCGCGGTGGTCACCGAGCCCGTCAAGTTCCCCGCCACAACGGCACAGCCGGGACGACAGCGGCTCCCACTCGCCCGACCCCGCTTGAGACAGCAGCAATGCCCGAGACGCCGAATCGAGGTCGGAAAGTAGCGTCTCGAGGGCACGCTGGTCCAAGCAGGAGCACGCGGCTTGCTGCCATCCACGCGCAACGTTCCCGAAGTGGGACAGACGCCGCTTGGACTTGGTCATCTACGGTGTTTCCCCGCGGGGGAGGCGCTCTGCTGCGACGCCACGCTGGTGTCGCCGCTGACGCACTCGGGAGCCCCTCAGCCCCGGGTGTCGGAGGAGGACGGGGCGGGTGGCCGGAAGCGGGCGACGTACCCTGAGTTGCTTGCTCAGGGGCCGCAGCGGCTCCTGGTGCTTGGCTCGGAGATAGGCGGGCGCTGGAATGACGAGGTTTTGGGGCTTGTGCGGGACCTTGCACGCTGTCGCGGCTTGCGGGCCCCCCCTGCTGTGCGCCGGCCTGCGGCCCAAGAATGGCAGCGGCGCTGGTGGGCACAGGTTTCGGTTGCGGTGCAGCAGGCCGTCGGGTCCACGGCCTTTGGGGCCCCGGCCTGCCCGTCGGGCAGCCGCTGGAGCACGAGGATGCGGGCGCGAGCCGCCTGCTCTTGCGCGGCTGAGCTGCTTGCCTCGCGCTGGGCGCGGGGGGCGTAGGTTGCCGCTGCGGTGCTGGTCTGTTTCAGCCGGCGTTTCAGGAAAAAAAACCTTTAACCGGCCAGTCCTGGTCTCGGTTGCCTTCCAGCGGGGTCGTTGCTCGGCCTGTGCAGTTGAATCTGCGGGTGCTTGGGTTCAACAGGCATTGTTCGCTTGTCGACATCATATTTTGAAAGAACGTGCCATGCAAGGAATTTGCTTGTGTCACATCCAGAAGCTCGGATTCAATGAGTCACAGATCTGCCACATCCTGCAATTTGACACATTTTTGAAAAACATATGCAGCCCTGTGAAGCCAAAAGCCAAAATCCAATCTCAAAGCAGCCTCGTGCGTGTACCTTGCGCAGCGCTTTTGACGTTTTGTTGCTCACCAGTTTTTTGCATTTAAAACCTTTGTGCCTTTGTATTTTTACGTGCGCAGCACATGCCTGAACATACGAGCAACTTGCAATGGCAATTTCAATGAAACCTTGTTTTTGTGTTAGAACCCGCTAATTAGAAGGAGCCAGTTTGAACACGTTTGAGCTGCGTTTTGGCTAGCCAAAGAGCTCGAACCAAACCATAGTACAGACTACATAGGACATGGACCAGCACCATGTTGCCCATAGATGAGCCGCATCACCTTGCACCGTGTAACACGGTTGGTGTGTTGACTCCCGCCTTTTGCGCAAACATGGTATGGTTTCCTGTTGACCTGCTGATGATCAACAAGCGATGTAACACAAGCTGAACATCGAAAATTGCAGTTGCACAAATGATCAGCTGCCAACGAAATGCACCAAGTTTCCGGTTCCCACTTGCACTCGCGCGCCATGGTTGGACTTTGTGTGGGCATGGTTTGGCACAAGATGGGCGCACTGCACTTGTGAGGTGGGAACTGCATGTGCGCATTCTTTATGGAGCTTACGGGCCAGCACCCATTTTAGTCTATTTAGTGGGGTTGGGATGTTCAGTGGGGGTACGATTTGGATTTTGACCCATGGCCATATGGCGGGATCAGTCCTGCCAGGACGGTATGTGGCGATCACGCTCGTCGGCCCACGAGGCGTCGCCCACAGTGGCAGGACTGGCCGCCTGGCTGAACTGAAGTGAATGGCTCCATGAGTTTGTGTTTTCTCCGCGCCTTTTCCCGAAAAACAAACAAGCGACCTAATGATTTTGTGACGAAGCACCGAACTTGAGGTGATTCCAAAGCCTTACGGAACATCTGATGCACGACGGGCTGCGCGCGCCGCGCACGCTGCATGGCTTGCATTGGTTTGCGGGTTGAGAGTTTTTTCTTTGCTGTTTTGCAGAGTCGTTGCCGCTCCTTTGCCTCGTTCGAGGCCCCCCGCGCGGGCGCGGCTCCGCCTAGAGCGCGCCCGGAGCGGACGCAGGGCCGTGCGGCCGCCAGGCTCATGGCGATGGCTGGGAAGCCGAGTGCCAGAAGAGGGCGGTGGCTGTGGGTCAAAAATTGGTACCCCAAATGTCCTGGTAACTACCAAGGACGAGAAAAGCGGTGGTTCGCTGGTGGTTTAAGTTTGGCCCATATCCTGATCAGGATTGAGCTTGGCTTGGTGTGTTTCGCGGGTGCCCCATTTTTGAGGTTTTTTCAAGGGAAGTCGCGGGAAATGCCAAGGTTTTTTGTGGGCGTCCAACTATTTTGACACCGCCTACAGTGGCCCAAGTAGCACACATTGATTTTTTGGTGCTCGGTAAAGTAAGTAAGAGCAATCTTTCGATGCTTCCACACCAAACTTGGGGAAAGTTCAGCTGTGGGCCTTGGGACGTTTCTTTCGAGTGTTGTCCAAGGCCGCCGTTTCTCAATCAAGGTTCCAAATGTTTCACCTGATATTACCGAGTCCGTTTGGGCGGCTGAGACGGTTTTGACGTACATTTACTAGCATCAAGCAGTTTTGGTTGGGGGCAAACGCTGAGATAGACACAACTTTGTGACTTGAAGAAGTGAACTTCTATATTTTTTCCCGATTCAAGGGACTTAGCTCAATCAGATACAGAGATACATTTTCAGGGAGGGCGACATGACCCACGAGGTAGGTCCCTGGTCCTGTGTGATTGGTTGCCTTCATGAAAAAAATGCTTGGTCAAACTTTGTGTCATTGGTTTATTGATTGCCTTTTTTCGTTGGCCTTTCAAAAGGTCTACCGCAACTGTGTTTTTACCGTCATGTGACTCATGTGCCAAGGAAACCAAATAGGATGATATGATGGGCGTCTCAACTCCCAATGTCAATCCATCAAGGGCCATTCCCAATTTATACCAAAGCGCCCAAAACCACCGATTGCAATTTGAAAAGGGGGGTTCGCTACTGCCTATATAATTCCCGGTTCTTCGGTGGCACCCTTGTCCCTTTTTTGCTTTGTGGTTTTTTTCTTGGGTTTTCTGCTTTTTTCAAGGTTGGATCCCCCAAAAGGGTGGTTTCCATGTGTAAGCCTCCTGTCCACCAACATGGAAGCTGGCTGAGGGGTCACCCTTTGGTGGATCTTGATGTTAATAGACATGTTACATTACTTTGGTGCATGTTGCAAGGGATGTTAGGACTCTAACTTTTTGCCAACTAACGGGTTTCCATTAAACCAAGCTAAACTTTTAGCAGGGGAGCAGAAAGCAACCGAGGTTAGTGGGAGGAAGGGCACCCCCCAAAAGCCAGAGGAGCCACGCCCCCCGATGGCTGCTTCGCAGGTCCTGCGGCCCCCTTTGTTGAAAAGCTGCGCGGGGGCGCTTTCGGCCTGGCGTAGATCCGTGCTCTGGGAGCAGCAGGCGGGTTTCTGAAACTTCCATTTGGTTAAGAATATGTTTCTTTTCCCCTGGCGGAGAAGAATGGGTCATTTTCGCCGTGTGGAAACATCCATTTGCTTAGGAACATGTTGTATTTTTCCCTTGTTGATTTTAAAGGGAATCGATTTCACTACTGTTTTTTCCCAGAAAACTTAAGCAAATGGAGGGAAACGTCGGAAATACCACCGAGCTGGGCATTCCAAAGGGCGGTCCCTTTAGGTTTGAGGTTCTGGGGAAGAGTCCTGTGAGTTCTGTTTGGGGTGGAATATCTTATCTGGGTGTGTCTGGTTCCTGATTTTTTTGTTGTTGGTTTAGTTGTTGGTTAGCTGGGAATCTCAGAAGCAGTGATTGTTAGACCCCCAGCTGTCCTTGTGAATAGGTGGGTGCCTGCCAAAGTAAGCCAGCCAAGGACAACCGGAGGCTCATTTTAGATCAACACCAGGCTTTCCTCACTGCCTGCAAACAGCACAGGCCCCAAAAGCAGGTTCCCGAAAAGGAGCTTCACTCTTTGAAGCTAGGGCAGATTTTTGTCCGCAAGCCACTAAGGAGGGTCAACCCTGTGACAAGTCCATCTCCAATGCAAACCTAGCTTGAGACGCCCATTCCGGAACGCGACGCCGCATGATTTCGTTCAGCGAATGGAAAACGCGGCCTTCGCCGGATCTTCCAGGCATGTCTTCCCACTGCTTTTTGAACCCACCTTATGACCACCAAACGCTGCGAGGAGCAGCGCCTGCGCCTCAGCTCGGCGCTGCTGTCGATGGAGGACTCGGTGCTCAAGGCGGCGCGTGAGGCGGGGCTCGTGCCGAGCGCCGAGGGCAGCGACCAGGAGCCAGGGGACTCAACTCTAACCGCCAATCCAAGCCGCCAACTGATCTAGGGCTACCTTCCATGTCCATTCTGTCCAGGGATCCGAATCTTTCTAGAGAACCAGCAGAAACTCAGGGAAACGGATCAGGTTTTCGAAAAGAACGATGGGTTGAACAGAATGGGGAATCAACCCCTAGAACTAAGGGTTTCCTTTAAAACCAACAGGTGAAGATAACAATTATTCTTCGCCAGATGGGTAGGGTCAAAATTAGACCACCAGGGAGTGGACCACGGGTTTTCTCGTCCATCTCACGTCCTGAATTCATGGACTTGATACTTTTTGGGTTGCCGAAAGTCTAGACATTTTTTGGCCAATCCTCTCAGGAACGGAGACATCCATTTGTGCAAGAACAATGTGTTGTTTTCCTGTGTGGGTGTTAATTTGAACTTATCACTACTGGACATTTATGGTTTCAGGCTCAAGCAAATGGAAGTCAATAGCTGGTCGTGCACCAGGTGTGATGCAGGTTTCCAGCACGCATATAAACGCGTATAACCCATGTTTGTAGCACCGAGAGTCGTTGGGGTTTTGGGTGCTGCTCAAATGGATCGGTCGTGGGAGGTTGCGAGGCTGCCCTTGGATCAGGGCCTTAAGCCTGAAGCTCTTTGGGCCTGTGACTTAAGAGAAGGGGGACCAGACCAATTGGTGATTTCCCCTCTTCCTTTAAAGCAACACTAGTAGAGGGGTTACCTTTAAAACGGCACACCCGAGTAGGGGCCCCCAGAATGAAGATCGTTGGTTGCTTTTGGTGTCCTTTCGATACCAACCAAAAACGGTCCAGCATTTTGAAAACCTCAGTGAACGTTATGTGGACTTCTCAAAACTGCATGTGGGAAGCCCTTTCAACCACAATTTTTGATGCTGAACTTGAGGATTTGCACCCTTGGGCCATTGGAGTTACTCCCGCGGAAAATGAGATTGGTGTTGCTTGGAAACAGCTCTGCAACAAAGGGTGGCCGTGCTGGATTCGTGCCGGCAGTTTGTCCTTGTGCTGCTTACTTTCACTGCATGTTTTCTGACGCATGCATTGAACATGTCGTATTCAGGAATCTCCCAGGGCATCCATGGAAAGGGCCGGGCGTATTCTTCATTTGTGGTTACGTGGGGCTTGCCAACCGTTTTGTCGAGCCCTTGGAGGGCCGCCCGAGTTGTCAGACAGGGTTTTCTCCATATCCCTTTGTGGAAGCTCGAAAGTTGGCATATTGAATGAGGACACCACCAGCCAATTGATCAACTTTTGATTTGGGGAAATACAGGCAGCCAGCCCCTGTCAAAAAAATGGGCGGTTTGGAGCCCGGCGGCTTGGGGTTTGGGGTTTGGGTGGGAAACCCATGCAAAGCATGAGAACCCTTTTACTCTGTTGGGAAGGCTCTGAGCAGCCGAAACGCCTCCCAGGCACCGGTGCTCACTGCTGCAGGGCACTTGGCGAAGGCCGGGCCTTCAGGGTCGGGGTGGGTCTGTGTTTTTCTTCTTTTTGTGCTCTTTTTTTTTAACGGTCCAATTTTTGTTAGAAGTACACTTTGTCCAACACACCAAGCTGCGCCAACAGTCCTTGTCAAAATGCCAAGCTGTTGGGGGCTTCTGATTTGGGAACATCCACCTTGACGGTTGAGTTCATCTTGGAGCCAACAGTTTTCTGAGCTCCTTTCACTGTGGTCTAAGTTCTTGAGGCGGAGCGGTGCCATTTGTTCACTGGGAAATCCGGGTTTGTAGCTAACCATTGCCTGAACCGTCCGATGTCCTGGTGAGGTGCAAGTCGCCCATGCGAATGGAACGATGGAACGGTTCGATCGGCGCTGCGTTGCAATGACCTTTGGCTGACTGCTATGCTTCCTTGTCATGCTGGACTTCCGCAATTTCAGCGTGTCCAACCTTTGACCAGCAGACGTGGGGAGTTTTGTTTAGGAGCCGCTTGTTTTAAATTTGAGGAGGCTGTTTCAATGGCATACGGGGTCTAACATTCCGGGTTGCTAAAAAGAGGGCGTTTTATTTTGGAGGAGATTCTTCATGCTCGGGTGGGGTTACCTCACGATCAAGTTGAGGTCAGCGCATGGGGGCCAGCATTGATTTTCCAGCTGGGCTTCAGTTGCTACAACTCCTGACTTGGTGTCATCCCAAAGGCGCGGAGAGACCTTTTTCGGGTTTACATGGCCCCCTAGAC